TCTGCAGTTGCTAGTGGTGCATATGTGTAGTTGGGAGTAGTTGCTATGGACTCTAGAATAATGTGTGTGTAATTGTGTAATTGTAGGTAGATTGGTATATTATATGTACAGATGTGGGTACATTGTTACGTATATGTGTAGTTCTAGACTAGATTTACAGACATTATATATATATATATATATATATATATATACTGCTCAAAAAATTAAAGGAACACTTTGAAAGCCCATCAGATCTCAATAGGGAAAAATATCATGTTAGATATCTATACGGATATGGACTGGGTAATGTGTTAAGAATGTAAAGATGCCCCATCGTTTTATGGAAATGAAAATTACCAACCTACAGAGAACTGAATTCAAAGACACCCCAAATTCAAAGTGAAAAAATGATACAGCAGGCTAGTCCATTTTGCTGAAATTTCATTGCAGCAACTCAAAATGATACTCAGTAGTTTGTATGGCCCCCAAGTGCTTGTATGCATGCCTGACAATGTCGGGGCATGCTCCTAATGAGATGATGGATGGTGTCCTGGGGTATTTCCTCCCAGATCTGGACCAGGACATCACTAAACTCCTGGATAGTCTGAGGTGCAACCTGACAGCATTGGATGGACCAAAACATGATATCCCAGAGGTGTTCTATTGGATTTAGGTCAGGCGAGCGTGGGGGTCATTCAATGGTATCAATTCCTTCATCCGCCAGGAACTGCCTGCATACTCTCGCCACGTGAGTTCGGGTATTGTCATGCACCAGGAGGAACCTAGGACCCACTGTACCAGCGTAGGGTCTGACAATGGGTCCGAGGATTTCATCCCGATACCTAATAGCAGTCAGGGTGCCATTGTCTAGCCTGTAGAGGTCTGTGCGTCCCTCCATGGATATGCCTTCCCAGACCATCACTGACCCAACACCAAACCGGTCATGCTGAATGATGCTACAGGCAACATAACATTCTCCATAGCTTTCCAGACCCTTTCACGTCAGACACATGTGCTCAGGGTGAACCTGCTCTCATCTGTGAAAAGCACAGGGTGCCAGTGGCGGAACTGCCAATTCTGGTGTTCAATGGCAAATGCCAATCAAGCTCTATAGTGCCGGGCAGTGAGCAAAGGGCGCACTAGAGGATATAGGGCACTCAGGCCACCCTCATGAAGTCTGTTTCTGATTGGTCAGAAATATTCACACCAGTGGCCTGCTGGAGGTCATTTTGTAGGACTCCAGCAATGCTCATCCTGTTCTTACCTGCACAAAGGAGCAGATATATATCAGTCCCCTGCACTCAAAAGTGGTGTACAAAGATGGAACTGTGACACATCCGTTGTGCATCAAATACCAGCACTGGCTTTGCTACCCTCTAGGGGTTGGGGGAAAACCCGCAGGAACCAACTGTAAAAACAAAGGAAAAAAGGGGTGCACCAGCCTTGTGCATTACCTAGGGTGAAGGCTTTATTAATCCAAAGCAAAATATACTCACAAACATTTGTAGAAACAAAAGTGCGTCAGATACAAATTGGACCAGTGCACAGGATCAGCTCCCAAACTCGTGAGGACCCTCTTAAGGCTGACACGTTTCGAGAAGTGGTCTCCTCTTCCTCAGAGCTGCGACTTTGTATCTGACACACTTTTATTTCTAAAAATGTTTGTGAGTATATATTGCTTTGGATTAATAACGCTATCACCCTAGGTAATGCACAAGGCTAGTGCACCTCCCTTTTTCCTTTGTTTTTACAAAGGAGCAGATATCGGTCCTGCTGATGGGTTAAGGGCCTTCTACAGACCTGTCCAGCTCACCTAGGGTAACTGCCTGTCTCCTGGAATCTCCTCCATGCTCTTGAGACTGTGCTGGGAGACACAGCAAACCTTCCGGCAATGGCACGTATTGATGTGCCATCTTGGAGGAGCTGGACTGCCTGTGCAACCTCTTTAGGGTCCAGGTATCGCCTCATGCTACCAATAGTGACACTCCTAGCCAAATGCAAAATAGTGAAAATTTTTTTCAAAAAGGATGAGTAGGGAAAAAATGTCAGAGGCCTCCAACTTTAAAACCATTCCTGTTTTGGGGGTTGTCTCATTGTTACCCATCTAGTGCATCTGTTGTTAATTTCATAAACACCAAAGCAGCTGAAACTGATTAACAACCCCCTCTGCTGCTTAACTGACCAGATCAATATCCCAGGAGATTAATTAACTTGATGTTATACTCTGATTTAAAAGTGTTTCTTTAATTTTTTTTTTGAGAAGTGTATATAGTTGTGGGTAAATTGATATGCGTATTTGTATGTAGTTGTGTGTGTGTGTACGTGCACAGTTGGGATTACATTAATATGTACATATGTAGTTATGTGCCCCAGATTGATATGTTTGCGTGTTTGATTGTGGCCAAGATTGATATGAATGTATCAGGGGCGGACTGACCATTTGGAAACTCGGGCACTGCCTGAGGGCCCGGGGTCAGTAGGGGGCCTGAGATGCTCCTGGTACCTTTTTCATAGGCTTTTTTTGAAATAGAGCAAGGACACAGGGGCCCCATGATCCCCTATTGCCCGGGGGCCCTATGAGTTGTCAGTCCGCCCCTGGAATGTATATATGTAGTTGTGGGCTCTAGACTGATATGTATGTAGTTTTGGGCTAGATTGGTATGTACATGTATATTATGTGGGTAGATTGATATGTTGCGTGTATGTGTGTAGTTTTTTTTGAGCAGATGGATTTTGTATGTGGGTGTGTTCTGTTTTTTGGTGAAACTAATGTGTTTATTAGTTTGTGTGTGTGTGTATTTTTGTTAGTTTTGATAAGTAGTTTGTGGGTTCCAGATTGATATGCATGTGTGTATATTTGTGGGCTATATTTTTGGTTTATGTATGTATTGTGTTTTTTTGTAGTTGTGGGCCCTAGATTGAAATGGATGTATGTGTGTAGTTGTGGGCCCTAGATTGAAATGGATTTTTTTTTTTGTTGTGGGTGTGTGTAGTTGTGGGCTCTAGATTGAAATGGATGTATGTATGTGTGTAGTTTGTGGGCTTAGATTGAAATGGTTGTGTTTTTTGTTTTGGTTTGTTTAATGTAGTTGTGGGCTCTAGATTGAAATGGTTATTGTGTTTTGTGGGTTTTTTAGGATGTCAGTAGTGTATTAAGGTTTTGTCCTGCCCTAGGCAACACATAAAATTTGCTCCCCCCCCCACAAAGAGACCCCAACACTGACAAACACCCCCCTCCCTCATGAAAAGAACCTGACATTGACCAACAGCACCTCCCCCTAGAGAGCCTTCCACTACCACCGCCCCCCATACACTGGCAACCTCCCCCCGCCCCGGTGAGAGAGCAGACACTTTTTTCACAGCTGCAGACATCCCCGGGAACAAGAGTCAGGCTCTGTATACACCATCAAGCAGCCTGCAGCCTCTTTCAGATCCCGCCTGGTTCCCATGCTGCATGTGTCCTTTCTTCCTTTTTTTTCTTTTGGCGGGCGGCACTGCCGCACAGAAAAATGCCGTTGCCACCCTGAAAAAATGCCGCCCTAGGCAAATGCCTTGTTTGCCTTGTGGTAAATATGCCCCTGGTGTAGCTGTCAGCTTTTTTTGATATGTATGTATGTTTGAAATTGTATGTACGTATGTGTGGCAGCTCTATGTCCTGGTTTTTTTTTTTTTTGTACTGTGGAGAGAGGAAGGAGGGGGCTCTGTGTGCTTCATGGAGAGGGAGGAGGTGTACTGGGGGATTTTTTTTTTTTGGGGGGGGGGGGGTCTGTGAACTGGGTGGGCTTTCTGTATTGGAGGAGCAGAGGAAGCTCTGTGTTTTGGAGGAGAGGTTTGTTTGGAGGGAGGGCTCTGTGTACTGGGGGAGAAAGAAAAAAGGCAAAAGCTCTGTGTACTGTGGGAAAAGGAGGAGGGAGCTCTGTGTACTTTTTTTGAGAGGGAGGAGGGGGGAGCTGGGAACTCAGAGGAGGAAGTGGGAGCTCTGTGTCCTGGGGGTGAGGGAGGAGGTGGGAGCTCTGTGTACTGGAGAAAGAAATAAAAGGGGGCTCTATGTACTGGAGGAGAGGAAGTTAAGGAGGGGGAGCTCTGTACTGGGGAAGAGGGAGGAGTTTTTTGCTCTGTGTACTGGGGGAGAGGGAAGGTCTGTGTATTGGGAGAAGAGAGAGAGGAGGGGGTGCTCTGTATACTGGGGGAGACAAAGGAGGAGGAGCCCTGTGTACTAGGCAGAAGAGGGGATTTTTGTGTCCTAAAGGTAGGTGAGCTTTGTAGTGAGGAAGAGGGGTTGTGTTTTTTTTTAAGGGCTCTGTGTAGTGGGAGTAGGGGGGGGGTTTTTGTAGTGGTGTTCCTTCACATGATTTTTTATTTTTCTATTTTTCTTTTCAGTGACACTACCAACAGCAGGGACATCTTTCCTTCTTTTGTCACTACCAACTCAGGGACACTTTTTCCTTCCAGTTTTTTTTTGTTGATGAGGAGTTTTTTTTTTTTCATTTTATTGACACTGCTGATTTTTTTTTTTTTTTCCCTTTGTCACTATTTATTTGCATACCACAGACATTACAAACAATTTAGCCCTTTCCACTATTGGCCCCCTTCTCTTTCCAATGAAAGATTGATCAAGGGGGTTTGGTGTCCTTGGGGGGAACTGGTTGACCTTGTCCAGGCACTGGCTAGATTGATACTTGTGTATGTGTGTGTAGTTTGTGGGGGATTGGATTGATATGTTTGTATGTGCATAGTTGTGGGCTATATATTGATATGTACAGTTTTTTTTGTGTGTAGTTTGGGTAGATCCATATGTATGTATGTATATACCTCTGGTTCCTTGATTGATATGTATGTATGTGTGTACCTGTTGGTTCTTGATTGATATGTGTGATTTTTTTTTGCAAGCTCTAGAGTAATATGTTTGTGTGTGTAGTTGTGCTCTGTTTTGGTACATATGAGTGTGTTGGTATGGGTACTAGATTAGTATGTACATAAGTATAATTGTGGGCTGGAATGATATGTATTTTGTACAGTACTTATGCATTCTAGCTTGATATGTATTTGTGTTTTTTGGGTTCTTGATTAATGTGTATTTGTGTAGTTCTAAGTAGATGTAGTTGTTTTAGGTTTTGTTTTTTTTTTTTTTTTGGCATATTGTTGTTAGTTTTTTTTGGTTTTTTTAGATTTTTTTTTTTGTGTATGTGGGTTTAATTTTGGTATTTTTTTTTGATTGTATTTTTAGTTTGTGGGTGTTTTGTTTTATTTAGTTGTTTTATTTGTGTTTGTGGATATTTATGTATGTTTTGGTGTTGTAGTTGTAGGTTTTTTTTGATGTGCATGCATGAGAAGTTTTGTTTTTTACATTGATTTATTGTGTTTTTGTGTGTTTTTTGAGTTTAAATTGATTTGTATGTGTGTGTTTTTGTGAGCTTAGATTGATTGTATTGTATGTGTTGTTTTTTAGATTGATACATGTATGTAGCTGTGGGCCCTAAATTTATTTTATGTATTGTTTTTGTTGGTGTTGTTGTGTGTGTGTGTGTTTGTGTTTTTTTTTTATTGATATGTATGTTGTGTGTTAGTTGGGCTTAGTTTGACATGCCTGTGTGTGTAGTTGTTTTTTTAGATTGATATATGTTTTTTGTTGTGTTTTTGTTTTTTTTTTTTTTGATATGTATGTGTGTAGTTGTTTTTTTAATTTTTTTGTTTATTATGTTGTTATTTTGTAGGTTCTAGATTGATATGTATGTATGCGTGTTTGCAGTTGTAGGCTTAGATTTATCATCATTTTGAAGTTGTGGTTATTTTGATTGTTGTGTGTGTTTTTGTTTTTTTTTTTTGATGGTTTTTAGATTGATATTTTATGTTTGTGTGTGTGCAGTTTTTTTATGCTGATATGTATGTTTGTAGTTTTGACCTCTAGATTGGTGTTTGTATTTATGTAGTTGTTTTTTTTTTTTTTTTATGTTTGTATGTATGTAGTTGTTTTTTTTTTTTTGATTTTGTTTTTGTTGTGGGTTGTAGTTTGGGTGTATTTTGATATGTATGACTGTTTTTTTGTTTTTGGGGATTTTTTTGTTTTTGTTGTTTTAGTTTTTTTTTTTTGATATATTTTTTATGTGCGTGTGTAGTTTGGGTTTTTTATTTTATGTATGTTTGTAGTTTGTGGGCTATAGATTTTTTGTTTTGTGTGGTAGTTGTGAGTTTTTTGATTTTGTTTTTTTTTTTTTTGTTTTTAGTTTTTTGATATTTTTTTTTTGTAGTTGAGGGTTCTTTTTTTTTGATTTTTATGTGTTTGTGAGCTTTACATTGATTTTTTGTTGCATGTGTGTTTTTTTTTTTAGATTTTTTGTGTATTGTGGTTTTGTATGTTGTTTGTGTGTTTTTTTTTTTTTTTTTTTTGTGTGTAGTTGTTTTTTTTTTTTTTTGTTTGTATTTTTTTTATGTTTTGTTGTTTGTTTTTTTTTTTTATTTTTTTGGGGTTTTGTGTTTTTTCTTTTGATTTGTATGGTTGTGAAGTTTTTTTTTTGATTTGTTTTTTTTTATGTGTAGTTTTTTTTTTTTTGGTTTTTTTTTTTTTTTTGGGTTTCCAGATAAGTTTTTTTTATTTTGTGTTTTTTTTTTCCAGATTAATTGTATGTATTTTGTATGTATGGTTGTTTTTTTTTTTGATTTTGTTATTTGTTTGTGTAGTTTTTTTTTTTTGATTTGTGTTTGTTTTTTGGGCTTTGATTTTTGTTTGTTTTTTGTTTTTTTTTTTTTTTTTTGTTTTTTTTTGTTTATTGTGGGTTTTTTTTTTTTTATCTGTTTTGTGTGGTTTTTTTTTTTTTTGATATGTGTGTATGTTAGTTTTTGGGTTTGATTGTATGTTTGGGTTTTTGCGTTTTAGTTTTTTTTTTTTTTGGGGGGTTGGTTTTGAGTTTTTTTTTTTTTTTTTTTGTTTTTTTGTTTTTTTTTTTTTTATGTTTTTTTGTTTGTTTTATTTTTTTTTTTAAATTGGGCATTAAGGTTTTTGTATGTGCAGTTGTTTTTTTTTTTTTTTTTGGGATTTTTTTTTTTTGTTTTGTTTTTTTTTTCCAGTTTTTTTTTATTTTGTTTGGGTGTTTTTTTTGTATGTATGTGTTGGTTTTTTTTTTTTTTGGTTATTTGTTGTGGTTTTTTGTTTTTTTTTTTGTTATTTTTTTGTTTTTTTTGTTTTTTTGATTTTTTTTTTTTTTTTTTTGGGGTTTTTTTTTTGTGTTTTGTTTTTTGTGTGTTGTGTGTGTTTTTTGTGTTTTTTTGTTTTTTTTTTTTTTTTTTTTTTTTTTTGTGTGTTTTTTTTTTTATGTTTTTTTTTGGTGTTTTTTTTGGGTTTTTTTTGTTTGTTTTTTTTTTTGTTTTTTTTTTGGGTGGGTTTTTGTGTGTGTTTTTTTGTTGTTTGTTTTTGGTTTTTTTTTTGTGTGGGTTGTTTTGTGTTTGTTTGTGTGTGGGTTTTTGGTGTGGTTTTTTTTTTGTTTTTGTGTTTTTTGTTTTGTTTTTTTTTAGTTTTGGGTTGGTTGATGTTTTGTGTGTGTTTTTTTGGTTTTGTTTTTTTTTTTTTTTTTTTTGTTTGGTTTTAGTGTTGTTTTGTGTGTGTACATGTGTGGTTTGTTTTTTGTGGTGTTTGTTTTTTTGTGTTTGGGGGTTTTTTGGGGTTTTTTTTTTTTTGTTGATGTTATGTTTTTTTTTTGTTTTTGTGGGTTTTTTGGTTGATGTGTTTTTTTTTTGGTTTTTTATTTTGGGGGGTTTTTTTTTTTTTGTTTATGTGTTTGGGTTTTGGGTTTTTGGGTAGTTGTTTGGTGTTTGTTGTGGTTTTTGGTTTTGTTTTTTTGGGTTTTTTTTGTTTTTGTGTTGTGTGTGTGTGTGTGGTGTTGGTATTTTTTTTTTTTGGTGATTGGGTGTGTGTTTTTATGTGGTTGTTTTTTTTGTGGGTTTTTTTTTGTTTGTTTTGTGTGTTTTTTTTTTTTTTTGTTGTTTTTGGTTTGGGGTTTTTGTGGGTTGTTTGGGGGTGTGGGGGTTGTGGGGGTTGTGGGGGTTTTTGTTTGTTTTTTGGGGGGGTTTGGGGTGGGGGTTTGTTGTTTTTTTGTTTTTTTTTGGGGGTGTGTGGGGGTGGGGTAGTTGTGGGGGGGGTTTTGTGTGTGTGTGTTGTTTTGTGTTGTGTGTGTTGTTTTTTTGTGTTTTGGTGGGTTTTTTTGGGGTTTGGTTTTGGGGGTGTGGGTTGTTGTGGGTTTTTGGTTGGGTTTGTTGGTTTTTTTTGGTTTTGTTTTGTTTTTTGGTGTGGGTGGTTGGGGGGGGGTGTTTTTTTTGTGTGGGGGGGGGGGTGGTTTGGATGGGTGGGGTGTTTTTGGGTTGGGTTTTTTTTTTTTTTGGGTTGTTGTTTTGGGGGGGGTTGGTTGTAGTTTGGGGTGGGGTTTTGTGGTTTTTTTGGGGGGGTTGGGGGGGGTTTTGGTGTTTGGGGGGTTTTGTTTGGGGGGGTGGTTTGTGTGTTTTTTTTTTGTGGGGTGTTGTGGGTTGGGTTTTGGGGTGTTTGTTTGTGTGTTTTTGGGTTTTTTTTTGGTTGTTTTTTTTGTGTGTGGGGTAGGTATGTTTTTGTAGGGTGGGGTTTGTGGTGGGGGATTGTGGGGGGGGTGTGAGGTGTGGTATTGGGTTTTTTTTGGGTGGTGTGTTTGGGGGTTTGGGTTGTGTTGTGGGTTGTGTGTTTGGGGGGGGGTGTGGTTTTGGGTTGTGTTGGGGGTGGTGTGGGTTGGTGTTGGGTTGTGTTTTGTGGGTGTTTTTTTGGGGTTTGTTGGGTTTGGGGTGGGTTTGGGGGTGGGTAGGTATGTAGTTGTGGGTAGGTTGATGTGTGTGTGGTAAGTAGTCGTGGGTAGGTTGATGTGTGTGTGGTATGTAGTTTGTCGTGGGTAGGTTGATGTGTGTGTGGTAAGTAGTCGTGGGTAGGTTGTTTTGGTGTGTGTGTGGTGTGTGTGTAGTTGTGGGTAGGTTGATGTGTGTGTGGTAAGTAGTCGTGGGTGGGTGGGTTTTATGGGTAGGTTTGAGGTGTGTGTGTGGTAAGTAGTCGTGGGTAGGTTGATGTGTGTGTGTTGAATTGATATGTAATGCATGAGAGAATGTAGCAGGTTGTCAAGTTGATAACTAGAAGGGCTGAGTGTGCGGAGTGTCCCCCCCATCCATCCACCCTACCTAGTGTCAGGCTCCTCCCCCTGTCCCCCCATCCCCCTTCCCTTTCTCCCGCTCTCCTCTGCCTGGATCTCGGTGTCTGTTGTGTCTCTTGCTCCCCGCAATCCCATCGCTTTTCAGCTGACAATGGGACGCGTAAAGCCGAAGGCTGCGTGCTTGGAGGCTGGGCAGTGCAGGCTGGGGCTCGGTCTGTCTGTGAGCATTGCTGCTGCTGCTTGTCAGTCTGCATTTGGCAGCCCAGCTCTGGAAGAGCCGCCTCTTCTCCTGCCGCCCTGTACACACTACATGCATTTTTCTGGCTTGCCGCGATGGTTGGGCCCTGGAGACTGGAGTCTGAGTGAGTATTTCCATCGGAGCAGCTTGAGCCGTGGGAGCGATGTGCCTGTATTGATGTTCCATGGGTAGGATGTAGACGAGCTGCTGGAATGGTACTGGATGCAGAGAACTAGGGCTCCGGCTCGCTGGGGGTGGGGAGGACAGCATCCGTGCTCCAAATCAGCATCCTCTTCTCCATCATCAGCCTGGCAACTGGAGAGTTAACTTGATTGGAAGCGGAAGCCTTCTGTTCCCCGGTCTCGCTTTTCTGCTAAGCAATTGTAATTCAATTAAAGTTGCAACCCGACTGGGACTGCCAATGAATGATCGCTGGACATACACCGCCATGGCTGGCTTCTCCATCGTGCCACCGGCGAGGATGAATGGATGGGCACAGCGAGCCCAAAGGTAGGAGACGACTTAGCTTGACATTGACTGGGCTCTCTGTGCCAAGCTTGGAGATGGAGGAGCTCCCTGTGTCTGGGAGAGAAGTAGGAGCCTGCTAGACATGGAGGAGCCCGGCATACATGTGTGAGCTCCCTGTGCCTGGCATACATGTGTGAGCTCCCTGTGCCTGGCATACATGTGTGAGCTCCCTGTGCCTGGCATACATGTGTGAGCTCCCTGTGCCTGGCATACATGTGTGAGCCCCTGTGCCTGGCATACATGTGTGAGCTCCCTGTGCCTGGCATACATGTGTGAGCCCCCTGTGCCTGGCATACATGTGTGAGCCCCTGTGCCTGGCATACATGTGTGAACCCCCTGTGTGCCTGGCATACATGTGTGAGCTCCCTGTGCCTGGCATACATGTGTGAGCTCCCTGTGCCTGGCATACATGTGTGAGCCCCTGAGCCTGGCATACATGTGTGAGCTCCCTGTGCCTGGCATACATGTGTGAGCTCCCTGTGCCTGGCATACATGTGTGAGCTCCCTGTGCCTGGCATACATGTGTGAGCTCCCTGTGCCTGCTATAGATGTATGAGCTCCCTGTGCCTGGCATACATGTGTGAGCTCCCTGTGCCTGGCATACATGTGTGAGCCCCCTGAGCCTGGCATACATGTGTGAGCCCCCTGTGCCTGGCATACATGTGTGAGCCCCCTGTGCCTGGCATACATGTGTGAGCCTGGTATAGATGTGTGAGCCTGGTATAGATGTGTGAGCCTGCTATAGATGTGTGAGCCTGGTATAGATGTGTGAGCCTGGTATAGATGTATGAACACCGTGTGCCTGCCATAGATGTATGAGTCTGGTATAGATGTGTGAGCCTGGTATAGATGTGTGAGCCTGGTATAGATGTATTAGTCTGGTATAGATGTGTGAGCCTGTATGTATATGTGTGAGCCTGGTATAGATGTATGAGCCTGGTATAGATGTATGAACACCATGTGCCTGCCATAGATGTATGAGCCTGGCATAGATGTGTGAGCTCCCTGTGCCTGCCATAGATGTATGAGCCTGGTATAGATGTGTGAGCTCCCTGAACCTGCCATAGATGTATGTGCCTGGTATAGATGAATGAGCATGGTATAGATGTGTGAACATGGTATAGATGTGTGAGCTCCATGTGCCTGCTATAGATGTATGAGCATGGTATAGATGTGTGAGCCTGGTATAGATGTATGAGTCTGGTATAGATGTATGAGCCTGATATAAATGTAGGAGCTCTTTGTGCCTGGAATAGAAGTATGAGCTCTGTGTGGCTGGTATAGATGTAGGAGCTCCATGTGCCTTGCCTGGAATAGATGCATGAGCCTGGTATTGGTGTATGAGTTCTATGTGCCTGGAATAGAATTATGAACTGTCTGTGTAAAGTATAAATGTGTGAGCTCTCTGTGCCTTGCCTGGTATAGGTGTATGAGCTCTATGTGCCTGGAATAGAATTATGAGCCCTCTGTGCCTTGCCTGGTATAAATGTATGAGTGCTTTGTGCCTTTCCTGGTATAGATATATGAGCTTTCTGTGCCTTGCCTCCCACAGATGTATAGACTCTGGCCATGGGCATGTCTATTCTAGATCCATGGGCTCTAGACATTGTCATGTCTTCCATAGATGCATGGCTCTGACCATTGGCATGCTTGTTATATATAGAAGCATAGGCTCTGGCCTTTACCATACCTGCTATAGAAGCATAGGCTCTGGCCTTTATAATGCTTATTATAGATGCATGAGTTCTGCTCATTGTCATGTCTGTTTTAGATGGTCTTTGGCCATTATAATGCGTGCTATAGATCCATGGACTCTGGCAGTTATCATTCCTGTCATAAGACCATAGGCTTTGTATATTAAAATGCCTGATATAGATCTATGGCTTCTGGATATTGTATGCCTGCTATGGATCCATGGCTTCTGGATAATATAATGCCTGCTATAGAACCATGCATGTAATTTGGCTCTGACAATTACATGAATGCTATAGATCCATTGGCACTGGCCTCCATAATGCCTGATATAGATCAATGGGTTCTGACAATTATATGCCTGCTATAGATCCATAATCTCTGGCCATTATATGCCTGCTTTAGATCTATGAGCCCTGACCATTATATGCCTGCTATAGATTCATGGTCTCTGACCATTATATGCTTGCTATAGATCCATGGTCTCTGGCCATTATATGCCTGCCGAAGATCCATGGTCTCTGACCATTATATTGCTGTTATAGATCCATGGTCTCTGACCATTATATGCCTGCTGTAGATCCATGGTCTCTGGCCACCATTATATGCCTGTTATGGATCCATGAGCTCTGACCATTATATGCCTGCTATGGATCCATGGTCTCTGACCATTATATGCCTGCTATGGATCCATGGTCTCTCCATTATGCCTGCTATGGGATCCATGGTCTCTGGCCATTATATGCCTGCTATGGATCCATGGTCTCTGGCCATTATTATATGCCTGCTATGGATCCATGGTCTCTGGCCATTATATGCCTGCTATGGATCCATGGTCTCATGGCCATTATATGCCTGCTATGGATCCATGGTCTCTGGCCATTATATGCCTGCTATGGATCCATGGTCTCTGGCCATTATATGCCTGCTATGGATCCATGGTCTCTCATTATATTCTGCTGGCCATTATATTCTGCTATGGATCCATGAGCTCTGTCCATTATATGCCTGCTATGGATGGTCTCTGGCCATGAGCTGAGCTCTGTCCATAATATTCTGCTATGGATCCATGAGCTCTGTCCATTATATGCCTGCTATGGATCCATGAGCTCTGTCCATTATATGCCTGCTATGGATCCATGAGCTCTGTCCATTATATTCTGCTATAGATTCTGCTATAGATCCATGAGCTCTGGCCATCATTCTGCCATAGATCCATGGGCTCTGACTATTGGCATCCCTGCCACAGATCCCTAGGAGCTCTGCCTTGTCTATCCCAGCTGTATGGGGCTGTTTCCATTGGCATCGCCTCTCTGTCTCCTGATGCTGTGTCGGGTGTGGGTGTTGGGCTCTAAGTTGCTGTAGGGTGATTGCAGGCACGTCAGTGTTTATTGCAGGAAGCCTATATTACATCCATAGCTACATCTCCCTGACAGCAGCCTGCTAGCAGCCCAGCCATGCTATCTCCTTTATTACAGCTTCTGCTACCAAATGGCAATCACACGTAGATTATGCGTACATCGGAGGCTATTTTTATTATAAGACGGTCTCTTGGCCTTTTTCTTTTTCCTTTTATCCCCCCTTCTCCCCAGAGGAGCACCCCTCCTCGCCTATTAATGCTGGGGCTATTGACAATGGCGAAAATAGAGATGATCTATGCCTGTCTCCTCCTCACTAAGCTAGTTTTTCCAGCTTGTCCGAAGTAAATGATATTGGACTAAACCCTGTCCCCAGAGCCTCCACGTATGTGCATTATCTGCATTTCCGATAAGCCCTGGCAGAGAAGGCAATGATTAACCCCTTCATGGCTTATTATTAGGCTTCACAGAGGATGTCGTGCGGTTTGATCGCCCATTATTTCCATGAGCAGCACACCAATGGAAGAGGGGTGTACTGGCATACAACAATAGTCCCGATCCCCCCCCCATACACACACACACACCCCCCACAAAGGGCCATTTTGCTTGGGAATCCGGCATAGACAGTGCATGACGCCCATTGCTTTCTCCTTGCTCCTTCCCATCAATGACGGGGTGTGTTATGTGTCCTGAAAATTCGATGTAAGCCCGATCATAGGAATGCATGATGCAACGCATTGCGGTAGAAGAGCCTTGATGTACTATGGAACTTCCAGGGGCCGTTAATATGGAGAGCTGGCAGTGCGCTGTTCCATGAAGAGGTGCTGAAAAAAAAAAAAAAAAAAAAAAAAGGACGATCTAGGTAAAGTGGAGAAAGATCTCACAAGTGACAGCCATTTTCTGCATATTTCTAGATCATTAGCGCTGCCAATGTGTCTGATCATGGCGTTGTGGTTGACGTATGGCATGTAGGCTTGTTGGGGAACATATGTTAGTGGGGATTTGTGGGATTGAGGCGTACAGATACATGCTATGTTCATGCCTGGGGTTGCTGCTGCTGCTGCTGCTTCTTGTGCTGCTGCTGCTGTACTTATACGTGTTCTGTGTTTTTCCTATGCAGGAGCTAAGATGTACCATTGCTGCTCCGCAGTCACGTTCGACCAGGACTTGAACAAGAAAATGCAGATGTGGATCCTACAGACGCTTGCATTTGCTTTGACATCCTTGGTTCTGTCTTGGGCAGAAACGATTGAATCCTATGGAGAGGTGTGTGACAATTGCCCTTGTGAAGAACGAGATGGCATATTGTCGGTGAATTGTGAAAACAGGGGCATCATCAGCCTGTCGGAGATCACTCCTCCACGTTTTGCCATCTACCATCTCTTCTTGTTTGGGAATCTGTTGAATCGCCTGTACCTGAATGAGTTTGTCAATTACAGCGGGGCTTCTATATTACATCTGGGGAATAACGACATCCAGGAGATTGAGACTGGCTCGTTTAACGGGCTGCAGGCTCTAAAGAGGCTGCATCTCAACAACAACAAGCTGGAGCTTCTGAAAAATGACACCTTCCTGGGGCTGGAGAGCCTGGAATATCTCCAGGTCGATTATAATTATATCATCTCCATTGAAGCCAACACCTTCAGCAGGCTCCACACTCTGCAGGTCTTAATTCTCAATGACAACCTCCTGTCCAGCTTGCCCAACAATCTCTTTCGCTTTGTCCCCTTGACCCACTTAGATCTTAGAGGTAACAGGCTGAAGGTGCTTCCCTTTGTGGGCTTGTTAGAACACATGGATAAAGTGGTGGAGCTACAACTAGAGGAGAACCCATGGAACTGCTCGTGTGAATTAATTGCCCTGAAGGATTGGCTCTATAGCATCTCCTACTCTGCCCTAGTCGGTGACGTGGTTTGTGAAACTCCTTTTAGACTCTATGGGAGAGATCTGGATGAGATATCCAAGCAGGAGTTATGTCCTAGGAAAACTCATCCCTACCTATGAGATGAGGCCACCCATCCCTAGGAGTACCAACGAGTACTTCCACACCACCCCAGCCTCTGTCAATTCGGGGGCCACCATCTCCTCTTCTGTTTACAAAAACCCCAGCAAACCTAAAAGCACACGGCAGCCTGTCCGACCCAGAGTGCGAGCCACTTCCCACCACCCTCCCAAAGAGAATGGTTACATCGCTTATCAGACCAAATCCCCTGTGCCTTTGGAGTGTCCTACAAACTGTACCTGCAACCTTCAGATCTCCAACCTGGGACTAAACGTCAACTGTCAGGAGAGGAAGATCCAGAGCATCTCTGATCTACACCCCAAACCTTATAATCCCAAGAAGATGTACCTGACAGGCAACTCCATCACCCTGGTCCGCAGAGCCGACTTTATCGACTCCACCGGCCTGGACCTCCTGCACCTTGGGAACAATCGGATCTCAGTCATACAGGAGCGAGCCTTTGGGGATCTAACCAACTTACGACGGCTCTACCTGAATGGCAATTCTCTAGAAAGGCTGAGCCCGGACTTGTTTTCTGGTCTTCAGAGCCTCCAGTACCTGTTCCTCCAGTACAACTCTATTAAGGTCATAGAACCCGGGACATTTGACGCTGTGCCCAATCTGCACCTTTTATTCCTCAACAACAACCTCCTGAAATATCTGCCTAGCAACATCTTCTCTGGATTGAATCTGTCCAGGCTGAACCTGCGATCTAATCATTTCTCCCATCTGACAGTGAGTGGTGTACTAGACCAGCTGAAGTCCTTAGTGCAGATCGACCTCCATGAGAACCCCTGGGATTGTACTTGTGATGTGGTGGGCATGAAGCTCTGGCTGGAGCAGCTCAGCGTCGGGGTTCTGGTGGACGATGTCATCTGCAAGACCCCCAAGAAATTCTCACTGAAGGAAATGCGATCGATTAAAGCCGATCAGCTGTGCCCAGATTACTCTGACATCGTGGTGGCCACGTCTACACCTTCTGAGGAACAGCCCCCAGAGAGCACCACCACCTTCATCTACCCCATTAAAGTGGACAACAAAGTGCCGAGCTCGGTGCCCCTGTCTGTGCTCATCCTCAGCCTGCTCTTGGTTTTCATCATGTCTGTCTTTGTGGCTGCGGGACTCTTCGTCCTTGTCATGAAGAGAAGAAAGAAGAATCAGAACGAGCCAGCCAGCACCAATAACTCGGACGTCAGTTCGTTCAACATGCAGTACAGTGTGTACAGCAATAGACCTCTCCCCAAAGTCAAGACCCCGGCCGGCCATGTCTATGAGTACATCCCCCACCCTCTGGGTCACATGTGTAAGAACCCCATCTATAGATCCAGGGAGGGCAATTCTGTGGAGGATTACAAAGATCTCCATGAACTCAAAGTCACCTACAGGAACCACCTGGAAGAAGAAAGAGAAAGTAACCTCAGGAGCCCAAGCTACAGTGTCAGCACCATTGAGCCTAGGGTTGAGCTTTCTCCTGTGCAGGATACGGACCGTGTCTACAGAGGGATCCTTGAACCCGACAAAGGACCTACACCCGGGACTAACATTGAATACAAGTATAGCAACCCCCCCACCGTTCACCTACACCCCAAAATATGAGGCAAAACGTCAGTTTCTGCATCCAGACAGGTTAAGAGAAGCTGTGCTCTACAGCACTCCCAGTACTGTCTATGTGGAACCTAATAGGAACGAGTATTTGGAATTAAAAGCTAAACTCAATGTTGAGCCGGACTACCTCGAAGTGCTGGAAAAAACAGACAACATTTAGCCAGTTCTAGACTCCTACATCTATACTATTATCTCTGAAACAAAGGACTACTCGATGATTTTGTTGCTTCAACCTACGGATGAAGTGCCTTGGCACAAGATTTTCAGCTGCAGCAAATTCTACTGAAAGGGTGTGCAATTTTCTCCTCTTCTCTCTCTTTTTTTCTTTCTTTTTTTTTTTTTTTTTTTTTTAGGACAACCATCAATTGTACAAACTGGGCACAACACTCACTGTTCGACAGCGTTCCTCCTATTTCTGCAGCCTGAGAATTAAAGAGTTGGAATCACTCCTGGTGCTAGGAGGTATCTATGAAGAGTATACCATGCTATAACCCTTCAGACAAGGGTGGGTCTAAATGACTTTTCTGGTGTTTTAGCAACCCCCTTCCCCTATGTTTAATATAAAGGTCCATTTTTACAGGATGTATTTGTATGCTCTCCAGACTTTTGAAGTTCAAGCTAAATATGTAAGCTATTTACGATCTTTATGCATCACCATAGATGGTGTGAACAAAATTCTGAAGTGCAAAGACATAGAATCTATAACTTGGGTAGTCAAAAATAATTTATTGTTGAAATATGAAATATTTTAATGTAGCACCTATTTTTATATGCACATTAGCATTTCTTCTTTTTTTTTTCTTCTTCTTCTTCACTATACTTGTCTTTGATTTGCTCAAATGTGTTGCACTACATAAAAGATGCTGAGATCCTGGGCTGGTATATGGAAATTTGGCTATGACATTTTACTATGTTAAAAAGTGACCAAAATTGTGATTGTTTCATGGCAAGTCTGTTGATTAGCATGGTCATATGGTTGTTCTATGAGAGGTATCTAACAGAACGTGAAGCTTAATCTATAACTGGGCACTTCATAGAACTGAATAGTGAGGGATATACAGGGATACCCGGTTTTAGGAAGGGAAAAAAATTATTTCATTTCATTAGTGAACCAAATGTAATTATCTCGACTACTGTTGTAGCCAAATTCAAATGCACTGTACAGACTGGCGTGTGTCCTGTCACCTGGTAAGTTTGACATATGGAGATTTTGAAGCTTGTTTTTTTTTTTTTTTTCATTTACGTATTCTTTTTCAAAGCAAGCAGTGTGCTGATGCATGTAATCAACATAAAAGATTAACATATGAGCTGCCATAGCCATTCAGCATGCATTCCTGAGACTAAGGATTTATAATCCTTTTATTTGGTTTCTGCCACTGGATTGAAATGGCACAAATTCAAGTTTTAAAGAATATAATTGTTAATGAATACAGTATGAATTGGCTACTCATACCCTGCTGTATTCCTTAATCCTTAACGCCCAATTTGAAGTTGAGACATAAAATAATTAGGGATATTTTTTATTGTTTAGAGCACATTACATTCATTGTTTTAATTGCTATTAAAATTCCACAACTGTTTCATTTTATGTAATGATCATATTATTTTTTTTTCTCATGTAATATTTGAAAAACAGGGTAAGCTGTGACACTACACTCATGCCTCACAATGAAACACACACACACACACACACACACACACACACACACACACACACACACACACACACACACACACACATACCTAGAACATCCATCTGAAATGGCACTGAGTGCAAAGTTCCTAATCAGGATTCCTTCTTCTCTGTTTATGGGGGACCCATGGGAGCATTTCTCTAGTATTTATGTATTGAAATCTTTATGATGTAAAAAAATTGTTTGTAGCTTCCTAAAACATTTTATATTTTGCATTCTGAGACTTATTTCTCATATGCAATTACTTAAAGTAAACCTGTCACTGGGAAATACAGTAGAGAATGCCTTATCTGGGTGACAGGAGGTACCAATACGTAACAGGTGCCAGTATGTAACAGTCTGTCTCTTTGCAGCCCAGTAGCCTGAAAAATTTGGGCTTGCAAGATAGATAAGGCCTTCTTGCCTCTTTCTGCATCTTACAATGCAATGTGGATACCTCCCATTAGGCAGAGGAGGTGTCCCTTTGCATTATGGGATACAGGTAGGGTATGCCTGAACACTAATGAAAAGACTTGCATAGTGTATACCCCAGTTTTTAGGGCCTCCTGGGACTATAGGTAGTAGAATTTTGATAAACAAATAGTACATACCAGTACCTGTGTCTTCTTCCCCCCCACTATGGCAATTTATACTGCGTTTTCTAGTGACAGATATACTTTAATGAATACACTTTTCTGAATTCTTCCATGAAGATCTATTTGTTGACATAAAGTACTTTGTATTCCTGAATTTCAAATAATGTTAAAAACAGGGATATGCAACTTTTCCAACAACTGCCCTCAAAGTTACACTATTTTTATGAACTATATTGTAACAAACATCGGATTAACCTGCAACATAAATTATTCATTAGAAAAATTATATTTATCTTGATGTTTTATGCAGTGCTCTTGCACATTGTTACATTTTAAACATTTTATTAGATGTATATAAATAATCACAGTAATGAATAATGACATTTCACAGAAGACAACTTTTTTTTTTTCTAATGCATTTATCATTTTATTCATGTTTCTGTTGTGTTTTAAAAAAAAAAAAAAAAAAAAAAAAAAAAAAAAATTGCGTTTATATGCATCTGCTCATTGATTTATTTTTAAATCACCGGCACATTCTTTTTAAAATAATGAATTTATTATATATATAAACATGCTAATATAAGGCCAGTTAATTTTGAATTATTTTGAAAATATCACTGTTATGCTTTTGTCTTCTAATACCATCCCACATGCAATCAAATCCTAAAATGTGTACATCATAAATAAATATCTATTTTTTTATGCACGCTTATTATTATGATTTTAATCAACATTTGTACAGTCTATACTTTAGTCTAAAGAGGATATTTACAATATTGCATATTCTGGAAAGTAAAAGGTCTTAATGCTATATGGTATTTCTGCTTACAATATAGGGGCATAGCCAAATGAAATAATCTAAAATAAAGAAATAAATAGTGCTCAACACAGTAACATATCATTAAATATAAATGATGTCAAAATCTTCAACCATTATCAGAGAATTGTGTGTATTTTACTGGAATAGCAAAGAGAACACATTGATCATGTGATTATACCAAACATTTGCTGATGATATTTAGCTGATTCATGAGAAAGTAGAGACAGGATACTATAAGGCAGCTTTGTAATGTATGAAGGATGTTATTTTATTTACATTCATATATTTTGTTCAGTGATATGTACTTTATTTAATCTACAAACTTTTGGGAATTCAATGTAAAATTATATTTTAAGAAAGTAAATAATTCTATTAAAATTAAAATTGATTATACCAATCTGTATTTTAGCACTTACACTTTTGTTCATAGAGTTCCCTGAGAATCAAAGTAGATAAACATGCTGAGTCTGAATTTCCGCAGGGATAATTTTCTCCTTAGCCTGTATCTACTTAAAAGTTCAAAGAGATAAAAAGTCAAGTAATAGAACTTTCTCTTGAATATGAGGTGAGCGAGCACAGAGTCCCTGAGAAATCAGCTTCCATGGTTGGACTTGCATGGTAAAATCACATATTTGTGTAAAAAAAGGCTTCAGAGAGAAGGTATAAATGGCAAAATTGTTTTGCGGTTGACAAATCTCACATCAAAATGCACAAAAGTAATTGACTGAAAATTGCAGATCTTAATGAGATTCCATGTACTTTTTTTGTACAAGGTTTCCTAACTTGTAAGCTGTGCAGACTCTGGTGGTTTCAGACCAGATGTGATCCACTAATTGAATATCAGTGACTTAAATGGATTGCTAATGTGTTCTAACATAACGTGAACATTGGTGTGTGAATGGGTGTTTAAGTGTTTAACATATAGCGGTTATAATATTGTCCTCAGGTGTACCATGGAGGGGAAATGATAATGTGCATGCCTTCCTGCATAAATCTTAATATGTCTTTCAGAGATGAACTATATGGCTGTGTATAGCAACCAAAAGGCTTTTTTTAAAATACAATCATTGACCATATACTCAGTTCTGAACTTTCCCTGAACTTCTATTTGAAAACGTAAGTGAATTTACATGGCTTAGTGTTTGGGTTGCAGTTTTTGAGTCTAGGCTGACCCAGCTTTGAACTATTTTGGTTAACCTGTTAGTTTTTTGCATGTTTTCTTCTGCTGATCATTATTTAAAAATGTTATTTTACTTTGAATCTTGCCAGCTGCAAAAGTTATACAGGGATACAGCATTGGTACCCATTTATCCCCTTTGGGATGATCATGACATAAAAAAAACCTGGTAGTGGGTGAAAGGTTTGAGCAGCCCACTATTGTTTGCGTGAAAGCAAGTTACCAGGAATAGATATATGTGTGGATGCCAATGTGCTTCTTGGCAAAAGGAATGTTTTTGTGGTTCTGTCTTTTATATCTAATGTACCACCAGTTACCTAAGCTTACCTTTATGGCCTACGCCTACAGATTGTAATAACTTGGCAATTTAGACAAATATGGATGAGTTCATCTGCCATGAGCAATTTTGTTTCACAAGTTGAAGCCAAGCTTCTACAAGCTGTTTAGAAGAAATATGCATATAAATATAGGAGGCAGTGATGACTCCCTCTGTATTAAAATCTATGTTAAGCTAAAACCTTTTTTGTTTGTGTTACAAATAATGTAGGAGAACACTTAAGAGGCCTGACATTTTTTTCCTTATGTGTTCCATCAAAGGGATCTCTCTTTGCTTCTTGTCCTAGAGACACAACAGGAAGTAAGAGGACTTTTATCCAAAGCAAGGTGATGCCCTCACTTTACCCATTGGAAGATGTCTCCTCATTGCCTGTTTCTGTGGCAACTCAAAAATGATGGATTTCCCACCTCTTTCTGTACTGAAGACAATGGTCACCAGGACAAAATGAGAGGGTGAATTTCCCTAGCAGGGGCACATACAATAATAAAAAACCTGATCAGGGGCAGAGTGACCATTTGGAAACTCAGGCACTGCCCGAGGGCCCGGGGTCAGTAGGGGGCCCCATGA